CAGGTAAGGGGGAAATAAGGAGAGGGAGGCCCAGCTCTGTTGCACAGGAAAGGGTGCGTCTACAGGAAGCCCAAACTGAAAATGAAAAGAGAAGGGGGGGTTAATGAATGGATGGATGGATGGACCCCTAAAAAAGCCAGAAGGAAGTTAATTTATAACTAATAGATAAAGGAGAATAGCCATGTTAGATGGTCTTAAAAGTCTTATGCACTGGCTCCTGGGAACATGCTTTCTCATATGAATGGCAGCAGTAGAGGCATTAAAAAGCAAAATAAAGATCAATACCCACACAAATAATTTTTAAAATCTGTTCTTGATATACAATCTCACATGCATGCATCCAGATAACCCAGTCTCTCTGGTAACCTTAGGCCACCAGACACAGCAACAGGCTCACAGCCCCCTTGTCCCACAAGACAAGAAGCTGAGGCTGCAACTTTGGTGTCTTTTGTAGCACGCTTAGCTGGCTAACTGCAACCCTAAGCCAATACCTGTTTGTTAAGTGTGTGATGGGGTGGGGCTGCAACCATTGATCTGTAAAGGCCATCACTGGTTTGTGTTCATGTAACACTGTGACCTATCTCCTACCGGGATTGCATTCCCATAATGTAAGTAGGTCAAGTCGTATTGGTCTCTGTGTCATGTATGAAGAGACTGACATGCCTGTGGTCATAAAGAAAGTATCATTACAGCCAGGATAAGAGATGTCTAATCAAGATTCTTTTATCACTAGGAGATTATCAATGGTGTCTGAGAATTTCTCGGCTATGTATCGAAATCCTTGTTTATGATCTGAAGAATGAGATTTTTTTTTATGGTTTGGATATGATGTGTGCTTCAAAGACTCATGTGTTGAAGGATTCCTTGTCAGCTAAGAGGTTTTGAGGAAGTAAGTAGAATCCGAGGACTCTGATTTAACAGAGTAATCCCTTGAAGAATTCCTACTCTGAGGGCATTACTGGAAGGCGGGCCTGTTGGAAGAAGTAGCTCACTGGAACAGATCCTGTGATGCTGTACCTTATCCCTGCCACTTTTCCCTGCTTCCTGGCTGACAGGAAGTGAGAAGCTCTGCTCCAGTACACCCCTCTACCATGATGCTCTGCCAAGATCGACGCCACACCCATGAGGCCAAGTGGCCATGATTGTAACTGAACTTTCCTTAAGTTGATTTTCTCAGGAACTTTTGGAAAACCAGACACAACAGTCATCCCATTAAGTGAGAACTATTTGTGGGGAGTGGAGTTAGATGATCATGCATATATGGGAATATGCAATCAAATTTCCACAATGAACACACCTGCTCTCACACATACATAACCCCCCCATCCTTAGCCTGCATTCCAGGTGGCTTTTCTGATCAACAACCCCCCCAAGTGTAAGTTTCGGGAAAGAAGTACATAACCTTTGGGGCTTTCAGTTCCTAAGCACCTAAGGCCCTCCCAGACCAACTGATCTAGAAGAGCTTTTGCAGTCTACTGCAGAGAAGCTTGCCAAGAGGAGACAACCTAGGTGGGGTTGAAATGGGCTGCTCCGGCAGTTTATTGTCTCTCACTTGTAAGGCATGGCTTTAATAATAGTTTTCCAGGGTTCATTTTAAGAATTGCCACTAACAGGGAACTCTGAAAATGTGTCAATCAGTGAAATCTGAATTAGCCAAAACAGAATTCACTAGGCGACATCTTTCCTGCTCTCCTTGAAAATGGTGGAACAAAGAAACGCCATATGAACTGAGCTCCTACTATGTTTCAGACACTTGGCTACGCACCTAGCAGTGAACAGATATTCTAGGAATTTAGTCTTCCTAAATAGAAAGCTGCTGTTTGATGCCAGTGTCCTAGCAGGGGTTCCAGGGCTTGTTTTTAAACCAGGCGGTAAATCATTACTTTGTTCTTTAAGGATGCATTTGTTTGGCTCAGTTTCCTGGAATTTCTGTTTCAGAAGCCTGGATGGACTTCCTTGCTGGGAATTGCTTGAAAGGAGGATGCCTTTTGCCAGATGCCTGAAGTCTCTAGTGCAATGGTTGCAACCACTGGTTTGATGACTAACAGTGGGCTCTCCATATAAACCACTGCATGGCTGAGCCAGGGGACAGCTTCCCAATACTTTAGTCTCCAACCCAAACAAACCAAAAGTAAGAAAGGCAATTTATGAGACCACTGGGGTACTTCCAAAACCAACTAGACATTTTATGTTAACAAATTATTATTAATTTTCTAGGTGTGATAATGATGGCTGTTTTAAAGATCATTATCTCCTAGAAATATGTACTGTTTATTTTACACATAAATGATACTGCTTTTGCCTTACAATAATCCAGCATGTCTGGATAATTGAGGAAACAGGATTAGCTGTATTTCAATGATTCTTTGATGACGAGCTTCCAGGATTATGGGGTTGAATTGTACTATTACCTCTTCTCTTCTCTACACTTGAAAATTTCCATGTTTGTTTTAAAAATAAATCTAAGCGTGCTGCTAAAAATGTTTCTATTCAATTCCTCCCCCCACTACCTGATTTTGGTAGAGTATACAAAAGGTGCTTAATCACTGCTTACATTCATCCTGTAATGACTGCTTTCACTAACTTTAAAAGTTATGTGATAGGGCTGGAGAGATGGCTCAGCGGTTAAGAGCACTGACTACTCTTCCAAAGGTCCTGAGTTCAATTCCCAGCATCTATATGATGGCTCACAACCTTCTGTGATGAGATCTTGTGCCCTCTTCTGGCTTGCAGACATAATGCAGGCAGAATACTGCCTGCATAATAAATAAATACATAAATAAATCTTTAAAAAAGTTATGCAATAGCATAGATTGTCTTGCTTACTCCTGTACACACAACCACCTCAGTGGTTTTCACTAAGAGTCACTATAGCAGAGGTTTTCATGACGCTTGTATTTAAAATGTGTGTGTGTGTGTGTGTGTGTGTGTGTATGCAGGTGCCCACAAAAGAAGAGGTCCTCAGATCCTCTGGAGCCACAGTTACAGGCAGTTGGGGGCTACCTCATCTTGGGTACTGAAAACCAAACTCGGTTCATTTGGAAGAATCCCAAGTGTTCTTAACCACTTGAGCCATTTCTCTAGACCCAGAATTAAATTTTTTAAATTAATGTATTAATACTGCTTATGGGTGCACATGCCATGGTGTAGTGTGATCAGAGGAGAACTTTTGGAGTTGGTTCTCTTCTTATAACCTTATATGGGTTCTACAGATTGGACTGAGGCTGCTAGGCTTAAATGGCTTTCTGTGAAAGATGAATGCTGCCACTGAAGCCGGCTGAGCCACCTCACTGGCCCTTACAGAGGATTTCCACATAGCATCTGAAGTTTCATTGCCTTCCACTTTGGTTATATTTTGGGTGGTGGGCCATGTAATCAAAAAAAATTGGAGAACTTGAACCTCTCAGATAAGAAGCAGTTATCAGTGGGAGACAGAGAAGCCATTTCTCATTGCACATTCCTAAATCTGGAGTACGTGGAGGGGTCAATACTGACTGTGATGCTGCAGGCAGGGACTGTGATGCAGTTTCCTGCATCGTCACAATGTTGAATGTCATGAGTTTGGCTCTATATGAAAAAAAAGTCTGAACTGAAACTTTACATGTTGGTCAGATGATCTGTCTACCTATGCTACACAGCTATCCTAGCAGCAAATGCCATCACACACATACCTCAGGCAGGCAGGCAGGCAGGCGGGCAGGCAGACAGGCAGGCAGGCAGGAAGTCAACATGTAGCATGCCCACTTAAAACAATGACAGATTACACCTTCATACTGTAAGTCATGGGAGGAAACTAGCAGGCCCAATGAAGCCATCTCTTTTATGGTTAATTACATGTGACACAAGTGTGGGGTTTGGGGGTATATGTTCTAGAAGCCACTGCCAGTTCTATTTAGAGTTAATAAAGCTTACCAGGACCCTGGGTCTCATGCAGCATGCAGCAAACAGCAGAGTTAACTGTAAAACAGTAAGAGCTGATGAAGATGGAGTGAGCATGAGGAGAAATCCAATATTATGAATTGACACAAATAATGAAGTGTTAGGGGTCAGAGGAGATGAAGAGAAACAGGGAGGGAACAGGTGAGGGTGGCTTGGTAGACACCCCTGAAACACTGGTATTCTTGATTAGTCTCTTTAGGGGCACCCAGTGGAAATTCTGAAGCTGGGACTTGATCAGATCCAACCACAATCTATCTAAAAAATATTACTATCACCATTTCTACCCTCCCCCAAACCATCACCAGCAAAAAGCACCATGGGAGCAGAGTAGCATGAGTTTAGTGGCACACCTTCTAGAAGTTAACCAATTGCTCAGAGACATATAAGGAGCCCAGACCTGGGGATACTCACGCATATTAGAGTGTGGATGTGGACAGGCTATTGTGCTGGCTCTGATTGCAAGCGTAAGGTAGCATGTTCCAGCACGGTTTACACCCATCTCAGAACTGGAAAAGGGCACTGTCACCAACCCCAGATATTTCTGGAGGGTAGGGAAAGTTGTGTCCTAATCCAGTCTTCCGCATGAGATGGGAGGAAGTCAGTCAGTTTGGGGGAAAGCCTGGTCTGGGGAGAATTTGCACTAAGCACCCTGAATAAGGGGGCCTGTATACAGCAGTGGTTCTCAACCTGTAGCTCCTCAGCCCCCTTGGGGGTCACCTAAGACCATCGGAAAGGACAAAATTAGAGCTATGAAGTAGTAATGAAAATAAAGTTTATGGCTAGGGATCACAACAACATGAGGAACTATAGGTCACAGCATTAGGAAGGTTGAGAACCACTGATCTATAGCATCAGTGCAGCCTAAACAAACCAGGTGCTGACAAATTAATTTATTTATTTACTTTTGGCTTTTTTAGTGTTTTTTTTTAAGTTTTTCAAGACAGGGTTTCTCTGTTTCTCTTACTGTCCTTTCACTCGTTCTGTAGACCACGCTGGCCTCAAACTCACAGAGATCCTCCTGCCTCTGACTCCCAAGTGCTGTATTAAGGGTGTGAGCCACCACCACACAGATGCTTTTGGCTTTTCGAGATAGGGTTTCCCTGTGTAACTGTTCAGGCTGTCTTGGAACTTGCTCTGTAGACCAGGCTGACCTCAAACCCAAGTGCTAGGATCAAAGGCATGTATCACCACCACCTAGCACCAAAACAATTTTAAAAAAGGAAAATATGAATCATTTCCTGCTAGCATAACTAGTATGCCATGACTGATAGATGGTTAATAGATGGTGCATCTAAAGAGGTTTTTCATCTGTCTAGTTGAACCTTAGTACCAAAAATAAATCAGTGAATTTGATATGTAGTTTTAAGATTCTATTCTGGGGGTGTTGGTGGGTCATGGCAGGAGGATCTCTGTGAGTACAAGGCTAGGGTGGATTACAGATAAAGTTCCAGAATAGCCAGAGCTACACAGAGAAATCCTGTCTCAAAACAACAAAAACAAACAACCAAACAAAAAGATTCTATTCTAGAAAATGACCCTGGACCAAGTTAGTGAAAATGTTCAAATCGTGTAATAGGTAGTCAAATTGGATAATAAGATTGTAAAACTCAGTGCCTTGGAATATAAAAGTTTACATTCGTGGTGTGATTCCTAAGTGAGAAGCCAGCACAGAAGCAAAAAGACAATTCTTCCTTCTGGAAAGTATCCAGTGGCTGACTCAAACCAGTGGCCCAAAATAGAAGGTCATGAGCATGGGCATCTCTGAGATCTTACGAGTCCTTTAGTAAGGATATTGTTAAATCCTCCATCTCAGGAGTCCCCAAGTCCCACCGCACAAACAGCCATAGAGCACAAGGGAACCTCTGGATTTTTTTTCTCGCCAGAAACATTTTCCTTTTCTCTGGCTCAAAATGAGGAATGGGTAATTTCTGCAAGCAGAGACTGGGATAGGGTCAGGGCTATTAACTCACCAAACGCTTGGAGAAACAAAAATGGTTTCTGAATCACTCCCCAAGCTTGTAAATGGTCCAGTGGCATCTGAAGGCTCCCCACTAAGTTCTTAGTACCCCAGGCTGGGCAGAATTAAACAGCCAGCAGGAAGAGGTATAGCAAAGGGATGGGGGATGGGAGGCAGGGTGCAGCCTTCAGGGGCAGCATTTATCTTTCACAGGTTGCAGTTGTTGAAAACTGAGGCTAAGAAGGGTTAGCTTGTACTCCCCTCCCCTCAGATGGGGTGAGCAAGCAGACCTGCACGCTGCATGATATTGAAAGTCTAGACAGTGGTTTTCACCCTTCCTAATGCTGTGACTCTTTAATACAGCTCTTCATGTTGATGGTCTAGACAGTGGTTCTCACCCTTCCTAATGCTGTGACCCTTTAATACAGTTCCTCATGTGGGTGGTCTAGACAGTGGTCCAGGTCCTCATGCTGATGGTCTAGACAGTGGTTCTCATCCTTTCTAATGCTGTGAGCCATTAACACAGGTCCTCATGTTGATGGTCTAGACAGTGGTTCTCAACCTTTCTAATGCTGTGACCCTTTAACACAGTTCCTCATGCTGATGGTCTAGACAGTGGCTCTCACCCTTCCTAATGCTGTGACCCTTTAATACAGTTCCTCATGTTGATGGTCTAGACAGTGGTTCTCACCCTTCCTAATGCTGTGACCCTTTAATACAGTTCCTCATGTGGATGGTCTAGGCAGTGGTTCTCACCCTTCCTAATGCTGTGACCCTTTAATACAGTTCCTCATGTGGATGGTCTAGGCAGTGGTTCTCACCCTTCCTAATGCTGTGACCCTTTAATACAGTTCCTCATGTGGATGGTCTAGGCAGTGGTTCTCACCCTTCCTAATGCTGTGACCCTTTAACACAGTTCCTCATGCTGATGGTCTAGACAGTGGTTCTCACCCTTCCTACTGCTGGGACCCTTTAATACAGTTCCTCATGTTGTGGTGACCTGCAATCATATAATTATTTTCATTGCTACTTCATAGCTGTAATTTTGCTACTGTTATGAATTGTACTGTAAATATCTGTTTTCCAATGGTCTTAGGCGACCCCTGAGAGAGGGTGGCTCAACCTCAAGAGGGGTGGGGAGCCACAGGTTGAGAAACACTGGTCTAGGATCTGGAAAAGTGCATAGAACTGCTAACAGACCCGGGCCTGCCATCCTTTCATTCCTCCCCTTACTCTGTACGTCTCTCACAGTTTGTTTCCTACTGTCTAACCCCTCTTCCCTTACCATTTGCCCTGAGTTTACAGAGCTTTCCCAGTGGGCCAAACAGGCAAGCTACACTTCTGGGAATGCTTTTCCCCTCCTCTCAGCAACTCAAACTTGGGTGCCATAGGTACACCGAATACTCCTTGAGTCTAGCTGCCAGCCTGCAGTTCACATCTGCCCACCAACCCCTTTTAGCCTCTAGGTCCTGGATTACAGGTGGTGGTTGGAGTGCGTGTGTGTGTGGGGGAAGTGGGATCTAGGCAGGAAAAGGAAAGATCACACACACACACACACACACACACACACACACACACACACCAGAAGCCCGCTACTTACTTCTTCTTCTCTTTGTCTCTTTTCAGAGTCTGCGAGCCCCCACCCTGAGAACCCTGAGACTGGAGCAGCTCAGCCGCTGTCTTTCTCTGTTTGAATGCATTCACTTCATCGTCTAGGGATTTCTTCTTATCCTCCAGCTTCTTCTTCTCTTCCTGGTGCAGTTTCTTCAGACGGTCAAACTTCTCATGCAGCTGGCAGAGAGGCACAGGGAGGTTAGAGGGAGTGTCTCCCACGCCCCCAGCAGTGCGCAGTCCCAAAGCCCAGAGCCAAGACCAGAGTGGGGTGGGAACCACTGTGACTACAACCCTGCAGGACTCTGGAATGTTAGGAGACATTCTTGCCAGTGACTGCCATGACGGCGCCAAGGATTGTTGTAGATTGCTGCAAATTATTCTCAGAATCTCTGCTCCTGAAATTGTGCGTAACAAAGCATTTTATTTAAAAGAATCCCTGTAGTTATTGGGTGTGGTTGATAATCATATTTACTTGGTTTGTTACAAGCCAACCACTAAATCTAATATATAAAAACTTTTTTCATTAATACAGCACTCTATTTGTTTTCTTCTTGAGATGGGGTCTTGCTGTGCAGCTCAAGCTAACCTTGAACTCAGAATCCTCCTGTCTCTGCTTTTGGGTATTGAGATTACAGGTGTATGCCAGCATGCCTAGCTTACAATACAGTTGCAGAAGGCTCTGCTACTATGTTTTATGAGGAAATTGAAAGTCTCATAAATGAAGGTATTTGCCCAAGGTCAACCCAATCTTTGGAGGACTATATAATGGGATCTCCCATATATAAAGTTCTCCTCCTGGCTAAGCCCACGTAGGATCTACCGTCTCTGCTCCCCAAGGCTTGATTATAGGCATGTGCAGCCATGCCTGGCCCTTAGTGTGGGTATAGCTCTGAACTCAAGTTCTTATGCTTGCAGTTCTTATGCTCACTCTTATGCAGTGAGGTGTCTCCCCAGCCTCCGCAACTCCTGATGCCTTTTCTTATCCCCTCTAATCAGGAAAGATCACCATGGATCATGATAAAATAATTAAAAACCACAGCAAAGCTGGTCAAAGGAAATACTTGGCCTTGAACACAAAAAGGAAGAAAAAAGATTGCATAAAATTGTCCGAGTGTCGAGAAATCAGTCTTTTCAAACAATTTTTAAAAGGTTTATTTATTTTACATGTATGTGCATTTTGCCCTCATGTGTGTATATGTACCACATGTATGCCTGGTACCCTCAGAGGTCAGAAGAGGACATCAAATCTCCTGGAACTAGAGTTCAGGATAGTTGTGAGCCACCATATGGGTGCTGGGAACTGAACACAGGTCTTCTGCAAGAGCAACAGGTGTTCTTAACTGCTGAGCCATCTCCCCAGCCCTGAGACCCAGTCTTAACCAGAGGTAGGGCTTTGTTCACCTTGGATGGGATCTCAGACTCAAAGAACAGCAAGCATATTCTGGCGTGCTGTTGTGACAAGTGGATTAGAGTACCGGAAGCATGGAGAGTCATGCCACTGGGATGCATGGAATACCCTAATACATAGACCGATAATAATTCTGTTTTCTTCTGGGCATTCAGGAGGAGAGTTTGCACTCTGTAGTACTGGCAGGGCAGGCTACAGACCAGGTCTGCAGATTCTAGGGACATTTGGGACCATTCCTTAGGAAGGCATGGCAAATGACAAGCTTACTGTCTAAGCTAGCTTCACCTAGTCACTTGAGGGGAGTGTCAGTTGTTAAAGGTAATGGGTGACATTTTTCTTCTTAAAGTGAAACTGAAATAAAACCAATACCTTTACCACAGTTTTGGTGACAGCTGTGGAGAGTCCTAGGAGATCAAAGATGAAGAGATTTGGGGCGTAATTGTTTCCCTTATTTATGTCTGAGGGGTGTGATGGTTAATCTTGACTGTCAACCTGATGGGTGATTTATAATTACTAGGGAAACTAGCTTCTAGGTGTGTCTGTGAAAGTGTGTAGATTGGGCTAACTGAGGTGTGAACACACACTCTGAAGGTAGGTGGCGCCCTTCTATGGGCTGGGGTCTTGAATTAAAAAGAGAAAATGAACTGGGTACCAATTCTCTCTCTCTCTCTCTCTCTCTCTCTCTCTCTCTCTCTCTCTCTCTCTGTGTGTGTGTGTGTGTGTGTCTGTCTCTGTTTCTCTCTGTCACTTTCTCTCTGTCTGTCTCTCTCTCTCTCTCCTTCTTGTACAAAGTGACCAATTGCACTAGCTTGTGCTATCATGCTTTCTCACCATGATGAATTAATTGCATCTCCAGAATTGTGAGCCAAAACGAACTCTTCCTTAATTGTTTTTGTCGGGTTAGGTCTTTTGATAATACCATCATAAAGAGTAACTAAAGTTCAGAGAAGTGAAATTCTGGCTGATATTCCAAAACCGTACTGTAGGCCAATTACTCTGGCATCAGGATGTGAACTGTTAGAGGGGCCTTGCAAGCCAAGGCCACTGCTTAAAGGAATAACTGCATATGTTTAATGCTTTTTAAATAATTTATTATTAGGGGCTGGAAGAGTGTCTCAGGGGTTAAGAATACTTTCTGTTTTTCCAGAAGACTCAGTTTTAATCCCTGACATTTACTTGGCAGCTCACAATCACCTGTAACTCCAGATCCAGGAATCCAATGCTCTCTTCTGGCCTCCCTAGGCACTGGGCATACAAGTGGTACACAGAGATACATGCAAGCAAAAAACATCCAGGACCTGGGCGGTGGTGGCATACGCCTTTAATCCCAGCACTTGGGAGGCAGAGGCAGAGGCAGGCGGATCTCTGCGAGTTTGTGGACAGCCTGGTCTTCAGAGTGAGTTCCAGGACAGCCTCCAAACCTGCAGAGAAACCAAAAACAAGCAAACAAACAAACAAACAAACAAAAAACCTATCCATGCAATAAAATAATATACAATTTTATTATTATTAATTACTGTGTATGTAAATGTGTCATAGTATGCACATGGAGACAGAGGGCAACTTCTGGAAGTTGGTTCTCTCCTTCCACCTCATGTCTCTCTTGTCTAGGCCATACAGCGTACCCCATTCTAGCTGCTTATGAATTTGCAGGTGATTCTATTGTCTTGGCCTCCCATCTCATCATAGGGATGCTAGGGTTACTTATAGGTGCCACTCTATCTGGGTTTTATGTGGATTCCAGGAAATGAACTCAGGTTGTCAGGCTTGACTGACAAGCATTTACCCACTGAGCCACCCAGCTAGCCTAAACTGCATGTTCTTAGAAAGGACCATCAAATCTTAGCTTAAAAACCAGCTAGAACATCACTAATGCTTTTTCCGCTCTAGACCAAAACAGAGGTGCTAGGTGCGGCACTCAGTGATGGAAAGAACACTTATCTAGCATGTGGAATGCCTGAGCTCCATCCCTACCCCACATCAAATAAATAGACATCCAGACAAACAAACAAAAAATCAAGAGGACAGTGTAGGAAATCTAAGTGAACAGGAATCCCACTGTTGACATTTTAGATTTCATCATTTTATCTAAGATGGCCTGGGACTACCTTTCCCTATAGTTACCAGAGAAGGTAGGATAGGGCAGGCCAACCATGAAAATATCATTTGTCTCTACAGAACTCCAAACTTCCAGGAAGTGGGGAAAGGATCAGCCTTCCTCTGACTCAGAGGGTTCCAGTGCCCAAGAGCACTTTGTCTGATGCTTAGTGCCAGAGAGGTTCTGCACCTGTACTGTTCAATACACGAGCTGTATTGAATCAGTTGCATGACGGTTGAACATTTGAAATGGGCTAAGGAGAGGAACTGAATTCTAAATTTTATTGTATATATTTTTAAAGATTTATTTATTATGTATAGTGTTCTGTCTGCATGCATGCCTACATGCCAGAAGAGGGCACCAGATCTTGTTATGAATAGATGGTTGTGAGCCATCATGTGGTTGCTGGGAATTGAACTCAGAACCTTGGGAAGAGCAGCCAGTGCTCTTAACCTCTGAGCCATCTCTCCAGTCCATTTAATTGTATATTTAAAAATGGCCAAGAGTATAGTTTAAATGCACCCTCAGCAGTACTGGGGATTTTGAATCTAGGGCCTCAAACATGCTATACAAAAGTTTTACCACCAAACTTCATCCCTAGCTCCCTTTCAACTTTTCTTAGTTAGACACAGCATGTTACTAAGTTGCCTAGGCAGGCCTTTCACTTGTGCCCTTGCTAGATTATAGGCCTGTGTGAGCAGACCTGGTTTAGATTTTAAATGTTTCCAACAGAAAAAAAAGATAAACAGCTGGGCAGATGTGATGCATACATTTAATTCCAGCACTTGGGAGGCAGAGGCAGAGGCAGGCAGATCTCTGTGAGTTTGAGGCCATCCTGGTCTA